TATAAATATTAAATGAGTAGAAATACAATTTAAATGCAATTTAAAACAATGGTTTCGTTCCTCAGGTGATCATGATTTTGCCCTCGGTTTTACCACAATGCTAGCCTTGATTTGTAGGGCCAAATAAATATATTGGTGGAGGGTAGAGAGAGTGAATTTGGTAAAACAAGTATTTCACACCTCTGTGACTCAATTTAAGCAAGTATACTTCGCCACTGATGACTTGACTCTTCTCCTTTCTCTTAATACTATATCCATTTTAAAGCTATTGTTTACCAGGTTAGTATTAGATCCTCTGGTTAATACTTATTATTTTCATTCGCGAAGAAAAGTTAGGTTTTGAGGAAGCATCAGAGCAAGGTATCATCGTCACAACCAAATTCAAGCTAATGAGTCATCTTCTGGTGAAATCGACCTTCGAATCTCTTCATCAAACACTTTCTCTTTATTCATCTGAGACTCAATATATGCATGAGCTATACTTCATAACTTGTGGTTCTTTAGTTGTTCTTTTAAAGAAAGTTTTGGCTGGCTAATTTGTTCATTTCCTATTTATATTCGCAAAAATGTACCTTAAAAGTCCCTTCATCACTCTAGTCTGGTTTTCAAATCTTGCGTATAGAAGGGAATTCAAGGGCTCCGTCTCCTCCTTTTCCTTGATATAATATCACAAATTAATCTTTGTTCTAGACCCATAATTGGTCAGCTATGAGTCTACCGCCATTCAAATTACGGTCAAAACGTAATCTTTCCCTTAACTCTGCCTAGAATGCTCTTGTTCTTGACTTGTGAGGCCACTCTACATCGACATTCCCCTTTGCTGTGCTCAGGATTGGATTTGGGCTGAAAAACCAAAACGAAAGCATGTGATAATCGCTAGCAGAACTTAATCTACGATCTTCTGATTCGGCTAATGTTTAACACTCCTTTCCCTGAATTTGTAAGCTCCAAACAGACTATCACTATGAGGTGACAGATTTACATCTCCATGTTCTGCGTTCGCCTTACCGTGCATATCAATCGCTTCATTTGTCTTGAGCTGCTTTTCTTCTAGCTGCGCTTCGTACAACAAACCGTCTGCTGCGAGCCCACTTGTTGTTTTGCCGACAGCTTCAGAACTTGCACCTCGCCATTCGATCTTACCAGCACGATACAGAGCCAACTCACTAGCAAACATTAGCTTGGAACTAGTTTCACCCTGTCGAGGAGCCAAGATGCTATGATAAAGCTCGCTGCCAAGTTGCCAATCTCCGGCTGGTCCTTTTTCTCCTGGACAGAGTTGTGTGCCCTCTAAAGATGGATCGGAGCTATCTTCATAGAGTTTTTCAAGATCTAATGTAATATATATGAAAATAGTATTAAAAATATTATTAATGATACCTAATTCCAGTAAATTTATCATTTTATCGTCTATTATATGAGTTGGTCTTAAGAAAAATTTGTATATTTTGCACTGCCAGAAAAATTTAGGATGTGGACCCTCATTGGGTAGTAGGTTTATATGGTCAAGAGGCGTTGCACAGCACATTAGGCGTTTTAGTCGGACTAGGTCTAATAGGATATGTACTAATAATACT